CTGCTGTGTTTACGATGGCCCCGTAATTTGCTGGCGCATGCAATTCATCTCCCAGGGAGGGTCTCGCCATGATGCAAGCCCGGCTGTTCTCTAACAAGCTCGTGAGCTACTTGGAAAACACAGCCACACAACCCGAGGGCATTTCTCCCCACAGCAGGGACCCCCACCCCCCATGCAAGCACATTCTACCAGTGAGCCCCATCCCTTCGCCAAGGGGACTCTCATTACAGCTCTCCAATCCATCCCCTCCTGTCACCGAGGTGATTAAAGCTCCCCAAGGGAGCATTGATGGGCAATGGGAGCCATACGCTCCCCCCCTGCTTCCAAATTACGGAGGAAAGTTAATAACTTTGGAGACGTTCCCCAGGCTATTAGTGGGGGAGGGGGGTCAGAGGAAATGTAGAGCCTTAAATCAAGCAGCAGAGGGCTCTAAACAGCCCTCATTTATTCCGATTAGGAGGATGGCATCCCAGGCCTCGTCTGGAAGATGCACGCGTGCAGAGGGGCTTGGGGCGAAAATTGCTGTTGCTCTCTGCGAAAGGAAAGAGGAGTACAGTGGTACCTCAGGTTAAGTACTTAATTTGTTCCAGAGGTCCGTTCTTAACCTGAAACTGTTCTTAACCTGAAGCACCACTATAGCTAATGGGGCTTCCCACTGCAGCCGCGCCGCCAGAGCACGATTTCTGTTCTCATCCTGAAGCAAAGTTCTTAACCTGAGGTAATATTTCTGGGTTAGCAGAGTATGTAACCTGAAGCGTATGTAACCCGAGGTACCACTGTAATGAGAGGAGTTGAAACTGTGCATGAGCTCTGGCCAACTCATAGGTAGGCCAGGCCCCATCTGCACTGAACTTTTAAAGCAGTATCAGAACACTTTAAACAGTCATGGCTCAGCCAATTGTTGCTCCGTGGGGGGAAATAGGGGCCTCCTCTTTGCACCAGGGCCGGCGCATCCATGAGGCAGACTGAGGCAGCTGCCTCAGGCGGCAGAATCCAAAGGCCGCTTCCACAGGCGTGCTCCCTGGGCACACACCCCGTCTCCAGAGAAGCAAGGAGAAGTGGCAGCTTACAGTGAGATCTCACACAAGAGCCCCACAAAATCACGTGGAGGCCTACAGAGGCCTTGCACAATTGCACCAGAACCCAAGTGACCCCAGTAAGCGAAGCTTAAATGGGGGGATGGGGAGCAGGGGGCAGGCAGCACTTATGCAGGTCAGCTACTTCCCATTTTGCCTCGAAACAGGGCCACCTCTGTCCTGCACCCTTAACAAACTACAACTCCCAGGATTCTTTCAGGGAAGCCTTGATTGCTCAAAGTGGAACAATCATATACATATACAGTCGTACCTTGGTTGCTGAACGCCTTGGAACTCGTATGTTTCGTCTCCCGAACAATCGAAAACCAGAAGTGAGTTTTCCGGTTTTTGAATGATTTCCGGAAGCTGAACATTCAGCGTGGCTTCCGCAGCTTCTGATTGGTTGCAGGACGTTCCTGCAGCCAGTCGGAAGCCATGTCTTGGTTTTTGAACAGTTCCGGAAGTCGAATGGACTCCCAGAATGCATTCTGTTCGAGAACCAAGTTATGGCTGTTGTGCAGACGGGTCCCAGGCTGAGCTGCAGCCTTATTTAAAGCTCAGCCCATGATAACTGGTACAGAAGCAACATCCCAAACTTGCTCTAGTTTCAGATGGGTTTGCCTTTCAATGTGAACTGGGTCAAATTCCTCCCCACCCCACACCCTTCCATCCCTGGTCACAAGAAGGTGATAGTGTTTCTGTTTCCATCTGTGAAAGGCTGGAGCAAATTCATTTAGCCATCTCATCCCCTTTGAGGAGGTGGAGAAATCTGAGATGGTCAGCTTTCTGGGTCATCCCTTCCTCTTTTTGGCCGTGATGTGGGTGAATCACACACACCACCACTACCCCAAGACAGCAGGCAGGCTGCCTCAGCACAGCAGTGGAGTGTGTGACCCTGCAGCTCTTGCAAGAAAGAAGGAAGGCAAGCTGAATTCTGTGGTTCCCCCCCCCCGCCCCCACCCCCGCCAACACACACACAAAAGAAACATCTCTGTGTCTGGGCAAAAATAGCTTCCTTGAACAGCTGGAGACATCCAAGAACATCAGATCAGCCCTTCTCGGTGGCCAGAACCCTGGGAAGTCCACAAATAGGACTGGATACAACAGCAACTCTCTCCATTTGTGATTTGCAGAGACTGGTATTCAGAGGCACATCTCTGCCTCTGACAGCGGAGTTAGAGCTTCCCTATCATGGCTAGTGGCCACTGATAACCTGAATCCATCACCTTCTAAAGCCATCTCATTGCCACGACAACATTGTTTCCTGACGATGCTCTCAGCTCTGTTGTTCTGTTGGGCCAGGGATGGGGAACCTCAGATACAGGAGCCTAAATACAGCCCTGTCAGGAGCGGGAGTCAGGAGCTGGTCAGCAATAAAACCAAAACAGTGCAGGCCTAGTGGTCACAGCAGCCCTTCCCCATAGGCCTTGCCCCAATGAGGCTGTTGCGAGGGTGGAAGGTCTCTGCCTTCCCACTGCTCTCTAAGGCTGCTCCTTCCCCACGTCCTTCTCAAGCAACCTGAGAATTCTTCGCCTGGTCTATATTTGCTCCGCTTTCTTCATGCCTCTATGGCAGACATGTTCAACCGGTTGACCACGATAAATCAGTAGATCCCTGGGTGCTCCTGGTAGATCACGGTCGATCGCGGGACCCTGTTGGGAATCTGAATACGTGCAGCTACTCACACAGAGTCAATTAAGGTTTGGCAGACAGCCAAAAGGTCATGTGAAGGAGTAAGTCTGCCTGGTGATACAGAGGCATGGAGACAGCTCCCTGATTGGTCAAGCTCTCTCAAGGGAGTGATAAATGGCCTACTAACTGTTAGTTCAGTGGTTCAGTGTGTCAGTGTAGGAGTTGGAGGTTGAGAGAGTTGTGAGTCGTGTCAGAGAGAGCAAGTCAAAGATCCATGTTCTTTTCCTGTAAATAATCCACTGTATATAATAAACACCTAACCACAAGTTCCTGGTTCCTGCTTCATCCATCCTGTCTGCAGCCAAGTTGCCAATTGCTTTCGTGAACTCTGCGTGTGCTCTGCTAAGGTCCTGCAACTAGTCAGAAAGTTGCAAAACACCAATAGGTTTTGCCAATAGACCCTTATCGTTCATGGGGTTAAAATCACGGGGGAATGAATGTTTCTGACCCCCTCCCCCCTCTCTCTGTTCCTCCGTAAAGTGCTCATGCATTTGGCATTTGTTGTTGTCAGTTGTGGCATTTCCCCCCCAAAAAAACTTCAACAACTCTGATCAGTCCTCCCCCCCAAAAGCTCAACCACTCTGGCTCCTCCCCCCTCTAATGTCAATGGGTAGTCTGCTCCCTCTGACCACTCATCTTTGTCCCACCACCAACTCCCCAGCTCTGAGCCTTCTCCCCTTGGCTGTTCTCTAGCTGGTGCCTCCCGCTGGTTCTCTGTGCCCAGCCAGCCCATGACAGCATCGCTCTCTGGCTCTCTTGGGTGTTTCTGCCTGGCTGGACTTTGTCCTTGAACTCTTATAACACCACTTGCTGATCTGGAGGGGGAAATCTTTAGCCTATTGTACACAAAAAAAACCCCACAAAATTTGCAATTGTTTCTCTGCCCACTTTTGCCTCGCCCATCAAGGACTTGCAGATTCCGGGGGGGGGGGGCAGAAAAGAAGGGATCCCCTGGGATGAAAAACATCTCCCAGCCCTTTGTGACCCCGAAACAGTAGCTGCTGCCCTCAGCTCTCGAGTTCAGTTGGGCCTTTCAGGGCCCTAGCATGGTGGTTGCGGAACTAACTCTGCAGAGGATAAAGTGGCTGCCTTTTCCTTATTAACTTAATTCCTCACTTAATTTCTCCCTTTTCTACTTTACCTTGACAAGGTTCCCCAAAGCCAATTGCTGGGAGGGAGCAAGTTACAATCAAGGAGACCCATTAAAACATCCAATTAAAACCACTAATCAAAAGCCAATCAAAGCCAGGGAGAACAGGTTGATAGCATCAGCAATTAGCCAGCCCCTGCAAAAGCTTTGCAAAATTAATATCGCCAGCCTCCTAAAAGCCTGGAAAGAGAAACAGCTTGGTGTGCTTCTGTGGGCTAGGTTTACTATAGCTAAGGGGACACTTCGCTCCCACTAGATCATAGAATGGGGTGTTTTCAAACTATCATAGAAATATAGAGTGGGAACGCAGACCCTCCAAGTGCCCCTATTTTCCAGGGACAGTCCTGGATTTACAGAAGCCGTCCTGGTTTCTTATTTGAGCCCGGAATGTCCCATTTTTCCTTAGGACATCCCTATATTCACTGGAGAAATGTTGGAGGGTATGGAGTTATCTGACTTCTGAGCCAAGGAGATAAGTAACTATACAACCTTTAGAAGACTTCTAAAGGCAGCCCTGTATGGGGAAGGTTTTTTTTTTTAATGTTTAAAGCTTTATTTTGTTTCTATATATGTTGGAAGCCACCCAGAGTGACTGGGGCAATTCAGTCAGATGGGTGGTGGAAGAAGAAGAAGAGGCCATCCCTATTTTCATAATGTTGGAGGGTATATACCATATTGGCCCAAATATTGGGTGGGGTCTAAATAATAAAATTGTTGTTGAATAGGTCGTCCCTATTTTCATATGAGGAATGCAACCTGCATATCCCAGTTGGTTAGAGTGTGGTGCTGATGATGCCAAGGTTGCAGGTTCGATCCCTGTATGGGGCAGTTGCATATGCCTGCATTGCAGGGGGTTGGACTAGATGATCCTCGGGATCCCTTCCAACTCTACAATTCAATGGTTTTATGAAACATTGGAGGGTTATGCTAGATGGGTCCCCTTTGGCCTGATCCAGCAGCTGAGCTATTTCTTGCCTTCTTAAGGAGTCAAGCAGCCTCCCGCCTCTCTTCTGCAACTTCTGGAAGCTGAGAAGGGGTTGCTCAATTGCAGACTCAGCCTTTGGCGGGCTGTTTTCTTCCGCCTGTCTCAGTGCAGGGATAAATTTAGACATGGCCCTCGAAGTTTCTGTGATTTGCAGGCGGTCACTGATGATTGCAGAGGCTGCAGCTTCTCCCTCCCGCGATCAGGTTCCGCTTGCACTTTTTCTAAAATCCCATTTTTGGATAGCCCTGAAGATGGACTCCCGCTGGGTCTGTCTCCTCATCCTTGCAGGTTTGTCAGAGGCTGCTGCCCAGGAAGGTTAGTAGCTTATTCAGCTTATCCTTTGTGGTCATCTTATGACATCTCCTTCTGACAATTAAAATTACGATGAAGATGGGCTTGTAGCCAATGTTGGTCCTACTCAGAGTAGACCCACTGAAATTAATGGACCAAAGTTAGTCATGTCCATGAATGGCTTTACTCTGAGTATGATGATGATAATAGTAGTAATGAAACCATTGCAATTGTGGCCGTTCTCATGAATAATATTGTGATACTAATTATCATAATTATAATTGTGACAGCTTTATTATGTCTGTTTTTAAATTTTGCTTTTTATTGGTATTTTTCATATCTCATATATATACATGGCAAGTGGTATAAAGGTAAAGGTAAAGGTACCCCTGCCCGTACGGGCCAGTCTTGCCAGACTCTGGGGTTGTGCGCCCATCTCACTCAAGAGGCCAGGGGCCAGCGCTGTCCGGAGACACTTCCGGGTCACGTGGCCAGCGTGACATCGCTGCTCTGGCAAGCCAGAGCCGCACACGGAAACGCCGTTTACCTTCCCGCTAGTAAGCGGTCCCTATTTATCTACTTGCACCCGGGGGTGCTTTCGAACTGCTAGGTTGGCAGGCGCTGGGACCAAGCAGCGGGAGCGCACCCCGCCGCGGGGATTCGAACCGCCGACCTTTCGATCGGCAAGCCCTAGGCGCTGAGGCTTTTACCCACAGCGCCACCCGCGTCCCCGGCAAGTGGTATATAAATCTTGTTAAGTAAATGCCATGAATCAATGGGGGAAGCAGCAGATACACACAATATGACTACAACAGACTCCAGAAACTGCTCAGATTTTTTGTTTATCTGTTCAGCTGTGGAATGGATTACCTGGTAAGGTTTGGGGCTCTCCTTCGTTGGAGGTGGGGTGATCACCTTTCAAGGGTTCTTTAGCTGTGGTTCCTGCATTGTAGGATGTTGAACTAGATCACCCTCGGGGTCCCTTCCAATTCTATGATTCTATGTTTGTTTGTGCCACATATCGGCCTGCACACTTCACCTTAAATCACAGCTCACCAGGAGCCACAACTGGATTTGTAATTGTGTGTGGAGAACCTGGTAAAATCTACGGAGGTCTTCTAGGTAGTGGCACCCTCCCTGTGGAACACCTTCCCATCAGATGTCAAGGAAATAAACAACTATATGACATTCAGAAGACGTCTGAAGGCAGCCCTGTTTAGGGGAAATGTTTGATGTTTTACTGTGTTTTTATATTCTGTGGGAAGCTGCCTAGAGTGGCTGGGGCAAATCAGTCAGATGGACGGCGTTATTATTTTTTATTATTATTTTACTTCTTTCGTGCATTGGAACCCACCCCTTTCAATGATGCTGCTGGGGAAAGCTCAGGAGCCTTGTCAGAGAGGAAATGGTCCCAACCTTTCTTCCCTGTGTCTCTCTCTTTCCTTGTCTCCTCACAGACCTAACCAGAAAAGTCTTTGTCTTCCGCACGGAGCCTAGCGAGGCCTACATCATCCTCAAGCCTCTTCCCAAGGAGCCGCTGCAGAACCTCACCGTCTGCCTGAGGTCCTACACGGACTTGACTCGGCCCTATGGCCTCTTCTCCTACGCCACTGAGTCTGAGGACAACGAAATCCTGATCTTCAAGCCCAAGCGGGGAGAATACCGGGTGTACATCGGTGGAGAGTACTTGTCCTTCAAAGTCCCAGAGGACACCCTAGACTGGGAGCACGTCTGTTTCGGGTGGGAATCGGCCACCGGCATCGCCGAGTTCTGGATGAACGGCAAGCCTTGGCCACGCAAAGGCTTGAAGAAAGGCTACGTGGTTGGCTCCGGGGCCTTCATCCTGTTGGGCCAAGAGCAAGACCGCTTTGGGGGCACCTACGACTCCTACAACTCCTTCTCTGGAGAACTGACGGACGTCTACATGTGGGATTTCCTCCTGTCTCCTCACAAGATGCGGGCGGCCTACCAGGATCTGCAGCTGCCCCGATGCGCTCTGGGCTGGAAGAACCTGCACTATGAAATCAAGGGAGACGTGGTGGTGAAGGGCAGGCTGAGGTAAAGGAAATGAAGGGAATCCAGCCTCCCAAGCAGAGTAATCAGCCTTTTCTGTCCCAAATTCTAACAGCCACCGAGCTGTTGTGTGGCACACTGAGCATTTTGGAAAACAAAAAACAAGCTGTGAACTTCCACTCATCCACTTGGTTTATTGCAGCTTCCCCCTCCTGGTCACCTGGAAACACATCTCGCTCGCCAAAGGCGACCAGGCAAGCGTGTGTTTACAAATCTGCTCTCGGTGCCATCCACATGATGATTTGCCGGGTGACGTTTTGCCGCTGAGGTGTTCTGCTGCTGCTTTGCTGGGTCTGTTCTGGATTTGGTGTGGTTCTAACTGAAATGTAATGTTCTCTCCCACCTCCTTTCCGAGACGTTTTCGTTTAATAAACCAATATAAAATGAGATTCCTTGTCTGGGTAGGGTCTCCTGAACAAACGAAAACATATTTTTTTTAGCAGACATCGAAAACAGTGCAACCGAGGTGCCTGCCTGATATGGCATGGAGTGTTCCAGGGAAGTTTATTTATTTAAAATGTTTGTGGATTGCCATAAAATTAAATAAAAGAATCCTAAAAGGCAGAAACACTATATAGACGGTGCCGCAAGAAAATTCTAATTGAAGAGGAGGGCTTTGCAAACCAATAAGACCTTAGAGTCAATTCAAAGGCTGGCAATGAGTGGTCATTACATGTTTGGGGAGCTAGGGACCTATAGCCCTCCAGGTTTTGCTGGACTTAACTCCCATCAGCCCCAGCCAGCAGGACTAATGGTCAGAGGTGATGGGAGTTGAAGACCAGCAACATTTGGGAAGACTACAGGTGCCCCACCAACCTGATGCATTTCAAGCAGAAGGTCATTCCAAATGTGTGTTTGCAGATACAGCTAGACTAATTCCCCCAAATCTAAAAACTAGCACTGAGACCTGAGTTGCATGAAAGGTAAGCCTGATGGGAGAAATAATTTCAGTTTGATTCGAACACAAATCTTTCCAATTTGCAATTTGTGAACCAGTATGCAAACAGAAACAGAGCTCTCCTTCAAGATTTACACTTCTCCATCAATTTCAAAGTTGCAAATCCTCGCAGCCAAAAATTGTGTGCCATAAATGTGTCTGTTGAGTGAAAATATATACAAACTTGTGCTATGTTGGAAGAAACTTCTTACAAAAACACACGTGTTAATTGCTGATGCAGAAATGGAGTGAATGTAACCTAAAATGGGGGGAAAGGAGGAGAGAACCTATACAGTGGTACCTCAGGTTAAGAACTTAATTCGTTCCGGAGGTCCATTCTTAACCTGAAACTGTTCTTAACCTGAGGTACCACTTTAGCTAATGGGGCCTCCCGCTGCCACAACACTGCCAGTGCGTGATTCTGTTCTCATCCTGAGGTAAAGTTCTTAACCCGAGGTACTATTTCTGGGTTAGCGAAATCTGTAACCTGAAGCATCTGTAACCTGAAGCGTCTGTACCTGAGGTACCACTTGTCAGTTTTGGCTGACTCCAATTTAGCAGCTCACCACTGCCATCCTCTGGTCAAAGGAGGGGAGTGCAAAGAGAGAAATTCCCTTAGCAGAAAGTGCTCAGAAGGGACCTTGTCTGTCTCTGCATGAGAATTTCTCACTTGCCTGAACAAGAAGACGATTCTGCTGCTTTCTAAGATAGGCAGTGACCATTCCTGCGATCCTTTGAGGGAGCAGCCATGGCAGTTACAGTGGTAGTAGTGGTGGTAGTGGTAATAGTAATAATAATAATAATAATAATAATAATAATAATAATAATTTATTTGCCACTCTGGGCAGCTTTCAACATATATAAAAACATAATAAAACATTAAACATTAAAAAGCCTTCAGGCTGCCTTCAGATGTCTTCTAAAGGTTATAGAGTTACTTATCTCCTTGACAGTAACATGCCCACCTTCAGTTTCTGCAGCTTGTTGGCTTATATTAGGGATGTATGTTCTGTATTATTTTACAAATACTACTACAGCTACAAGTTTGTCATGGCCTTTGGCTAGAACAATAAACTTATGAACTATGAATAGGAAAAGTTCCAGCAGCCAGCAGGAGGCCAGCTGAGCCAGGAGAGATTGGGGGGGGGACCCCTCCGCCCAACCCTACACACACACACACACACACACACACACAATCTAGCACAAAGGGGGTCCTTGTCCACTTGGTAGCGCCAGTCTAATATGGACAGGCAGCCTAACTTTCTGTGATGTGTGTACGAGACAACATATGGGACTACAATTGTGTTGGCTGCTGTTGGTTAAATTTTCCCTCAGACAAGATGGTTGTGTCAGCTGGTTGACCCCAAAAAACCTTGGGGGTGAATGTCCTCTTTGTTTGGGTCACAGAAAGCAAACAAGGTCATGGCGTTCAATATATCACAAACCGTTCCAATGTGTGTTGTCAGCAGCAGCACTGAGGTGTCTTTGGGCCAAGTTTGGGGCTTCTTAGTGTAGAGAAAAGGCAAACAAAAGACAGCACAGAACAATGGAAACACGTAGAAGTTTATAGAATTATGCCTAGCATGGAGAAAGCAGGCCGTATGCCCTTGTCTCCACGTTCAGAGGTAGTGTGCGTCTTGTGGGAACTGGACTCTAGTTCCCATCTGTAGCGTATGCAGAAGACAGTCCTGAGTCATTTGACCCTTGAATCATAGAATCATAGAATTGTAGAGTTGGGAGGGACCCCCAGAGGCCATCTAATCCAACCCTCTGCAATGCAGGAATCTCAAATGAAGCATCCATGACAGATGGCCACCCAACCTCTGCTTAGAAACCTCCAAGGAAGGAGAGTCTAGCACCTCTCGAGGGAGACCGTTCCACTGCCAAACAGCTCTTACTGTCAGAAAGTTATTCCTGATACGGGGCGTAGCTTGCCAGAGGGGCCGTAGCCCCAGGTGCAGATTTCTGAGGGGGGGTGCAAAGCAGCTGCCCCCATGCCAGTGCCTCCAGCGTGGCATGGGGGCACCTCCTTTGTGTCTGCTGAGTGCTGCATCAGCTGGCCGGGCTCCCCCTGCTTGGGTAGGCAGGCGGCATAGTGTGTAGTTGTTGTGCTCTTTCGCACTGCCCTCCCTGGATCCAAGCCTTGCAAGGCCACTCGGGGAGAGGGCAGTGTGGGGATGTGGCAAGCACCTGCCCTTTGATCCCAGACTTGTGCGTCCAAAGGCAAGCAGAGCGATGCATTTGGCACCAGCTTGGCTGCGGGAGTTGCCGAAAGGAGGTGTAGAAGGTGCCTCCAACCATCTTAGGGACTCCAGATTTGTGTAGGATTTGCTCCTTAGCCTTTTCTTTTCCTGATTGTGGAGATAGTAGCGATTTTAGGATCAGTTTTCCTTCTCCTTCCACCTTTCCACGTTGCTGAGCCCCATCTGCCCCTCGCTTTCCGAGCATAATTCAAAATGTTGGTGCTGACCTTTAAAGCCCTAAATGGCCCAGTATACATGAAGGAGCGTCTCCATCCCTTTTGTTCAGCTGGGGGGTGATGGGTCAGCTCTGAGGGCCTTCTAGCGATTCCATCACTGCAAAAATGGAGGTTATAAGGAACCAGGAAGAGGGCTTTCTCAGTAGTGGCGCCCACCCTGTGGAACACCTCCCCATTAGATGTCAAGGAAATAAACAACTATGTATCTGACTTAGAAGACATCTGAAGGCAGCCCTGCATAGGGAAGTTTTTTAATGTTTGATGTTTTATTATTTTTTTATATACAGTGGTACCTCAGGTTAAGTACTTAATTTGTTCCGGAGGTCTGTTCTTAACCTGAAACTGTTCTTAACCTGAAGCACCACTTTAGCTAATGGGGCCTCCCGCTGCCACTGTGCCGCCGGAGCACGATTTCTGTTCTCATCCCGAAGCAAAGTTCTTAACCTGAAGCAAGCACTATTTCTGGGTTAGCGGAGTGTGTAACCTGAAGCGTATGTAACCTGAAGTGTATGTAACCTGAAGTGTATGTAACCTGAGGTACCACTGTATGTTGGAAGCTGCCCAGAGAGGCTGGGGCAACCCACTCCAATGGACGGAGTATAAAAATAATAATAATAATAATAATAATAATAATAATAATAATAATAATACTTCTACAGCAAATGCAGAAACCACCTTCTTGACCGTTGGACCACTATTTGCCTCGTCCGCTCAATCTGCTAGAGCCTGTCTTCACATGCAGGGAAAGTCCCTAACTCACACATTGTCTCCCTTCACCTGGTTTAGCTGGCCAGCCTAGGCCGTTTCACAGGGTGTAGCCACTGTCGCACGCTGACAGCTTCTAGGAGCCACAGGTGAGAGATGAGTGCAGGGTGGAAAATTCCTGTGCACTTTAATTTTATTTATTGAACAAAATTGATATGCCACTTAAACAAAGGACTTCTAAGTGGCCAATTCTTCTTTCATGAAGGCAAGCCAGCAAACTCAAAGGTCCCACTATTATAAGCCCCACAATTCTGCCGCTTCTAAAGGTGAGCCTTCTTCAGCTAATAGCTTGGCGCCTGTGAGATTCATCATTTTCCTGGCCTTTGGGACGCTTGCGTTGTCCCTGGCAGGGAACGTTCTGTCATCTCAGCCCTGCATAGGTCACTCTGATCTCGGCTTGACCCTCGCAGATAACAGGCAAGGGTTGAACCCCTCCCAATGGAAGCTGCGAAGTCTCCTCATTGCTCCACAACCACAAGACAAAACATCAGCAAAATGTAATTACTCAAAATTGTAAAGAGAAGAGAAAGAAATGTCAAGTTGCTGCTGACAGCTTTTAAAATCAGCAGCTCCTTCCAATCTCTTAAACAGGCTGCCCCACTGCACATGCCTCTTTCTTTCTTTCTTTCTTTCTTTCTTTCTTTCTTTCTTCTCTCTCCTTTCTTTTTTGGCTGTGTTTTGTTGCGGCAATGGAGGGCTCTCTGTAATACGTAAATGTGTGTGTTGGCAGGATGGGTGACAAGGCCCTCGCAGTGATCCAGACCCTCCAAGTGTCCCTATTTTCCAGGGATAGTCCTGGATTTACAAAAGCCATCCCGGTTTCTGATTTCATCCCGGAATGTCCCGCTTTTCCTTAGGATGGCTCTCTTTTCACTGGTGAAATGTTGGAGGGTATAGAGCTATCCGACCCCCGAGCCAAGGAGATAAGTAGCTATGCACCCTTTAGAAAAAACATGAAGGCAGCCCTGCATGGGGAAGTTTTCTAAATATTTAATGATTTATTATGTTTTTGGATATGTTGGAAGCTGCCCAGAGTGGCTGGGGCAACCCAGTCAGTTGGGTGGGGTATTATTATTATTATTATTATGATTATTATTATTATTATTATTTTATTTTATAGGACACCCCTATTTTCATCACAGAAATGTTGGAGGGTATGTGATCCGATCTAGGGTTGCCAGACATATCCGGAACGCTGCAGCCTGAAGCAAAATGTATGACAACTGGCAGTGTCGTTTTTGCCGTTCCGGCCAATTTTTCTTTGTGATTTTGCCAAAAAAGCTCAAGAACTTTGGGAAGAAGAAGAAGAGCTGTTCCTCCTGGCCTTTGATTTGGACTCAGTCTGATCCTTATGTTTCCCTCCCCTTATGGTCTTGATTTATCAGCTACTTTTAAAACGAGGTTGCATTTTAAATTTCATTTTAACCTGTATTTTAAATTGTTTTGTTTTTGTTTTGTTTTTCCCCCTATTATGTTTTCACTGTGATTTTATTGGTGTTAGCCGCCCTGAGCCTGGTTCTGGCCGGGGAGGGTGGGGTAATAAATAAAATTATTATTATTATTATTATTATTATTATTATTATTATTATTATTAGAAGTTGAACAACTTTTGTGTCTGGATATTCACTTTTTGAAATATGGCAACCCTAGGGATCCTTTGTGTGAAAATCAGACTGTGAACAATCATGATCCATAAAATGTGGGGGTCTATGCGTTGCTTGCCTAGCAAAATGATCTGGAGAGGCTCTTGGCACTCAGGGTTTGAAAGAGGCAGGTTCATTCTGGAAGGAATGGAAATTTAACCAACAGGCAGATAAGACCAGGGGAGGCGAATGGAAAGCATTTGTTGATTTTTAATCTCTGCCCTGTGGAACTGCCCTGAGAGTGGAGGTGCCCGCCCCTTCCAGCCCAGGGATAAGATCCAGAGAGGACTTCACAGCCAGGGCTTGGTTTCCTCCAGGACAGGCTGAGCAGATCCAGGCAAGCCCAGGGTCCATTTCAACCATCTGCCAAGTTTATTCTGCAGACAGACGGCATGGGGTTCCTTCATATCTTCCTCCTCATCTTGGCCGGACTGTTGGGGTCTCTTGCCCAGGAAGGTGGGTGCTCTGATCAGATGCAATGAGTTATGTGGCTGTTGCTGTGTGCATGGACTGACTGGCCGCATTGTGAGGGCAGACATGGAGGTATCCCTGTTTCTGGTTGGGTTTGAATTAGAGCCAAAGGGAAGGGCTGTAGCTGAGCGGGTAGAGGAACTGCTTTGCATGAAGTCCCAGGTTCAAATCCCGGCATCTCCAGGTGGCTCTGGGAAGGACCCCTCTGTCTGAAACCTCTAAACAGCCGCTGCCAGTCAGTGTGGACAATACTGTTCCTAAACATAGCCCTGTTTAGGGATGGTTTTAATATTTGATGCTGTACTGTTTTTAACACTTGATTGGGAGCCGCCCAGAGTGGCTGGGGAAACTCAGCCAGATGGGCGGGGTATAAATAATAAATTATTATTATTATTATTTGTCAGGTGTTCAGGGACAGAGGCACAGGGGAGGGAGGAGACGGAGAGCGATGGGGAAGAAACCCAGGACAGCGAGGAAGAGGATGACAATGACTCGAGGGATTCCATGAGTCTTTCAAGTGAATCGGAGGATTCCCAGAAGGGGGCACCTGTGGTCAGGCCAAGGGGAGTCACAGGGGGGACTCGTCAGGAGCAGGGGGCCAGCAGGGGATCCCAAAGTGGGAGCTGGGAGTCAGGACCGGCTTCCCCGCCAGAGCGCAGTGAAGGGGGTGGAGGTTCCAGTGTGACAGGGGAAGCAGCTCCGGCAGCAGAGAAGGGGGGAAGGTCGGAGCAAGACATCCTCCCGGAAGGGGAGGGGAGTAGTGAAGGGAGTAGTGTAACTGTCAAAAGGAAGGTTAGAGGTTGGGGCCGCGCGCCAAGTTCAAATGTGGAGGCGCGCGGAAGAACAGGGAGTCCGGAGGAGGAGCCACGTCCCAAAGCCCGCAGGAGGGGGGGAGAGCTGTCTGGGGATTCAGCGTCAGGGGAATCCAGGAGGGGCAAAACCCCGGGGGGCAGGAAGACCCTGCGGAAAAGGAAAGAAAGGAAGAGGTGGGGTGTTATGTAGTGTAGTTTCACCCTGGACCAACAGGGGGATACTGTATATAGTTTTCACTCAGGTCTGTAGATAGTTTTCACTCAGGTCCGCGGCAGTTATTTTAGGCGGGAACTCTGGGCTGTTGTGGTTACAATGTTGACAGCCGGCTGCCTATAAATACAGGCCGGCTGAGCTGTTCGCAGTCAGTTGTATTCCAGCTTACCATAATAAAGAGCTACTTGAAGAAATCGCTGTGCCGGCTGCTATGTCAACCCACGACTTAACATGGAGCAGCGCAAGCTTCTTAAACTGGTGCAGGGGAGGGACTGACTCAGAGGGGACTTCAGCGGTCTAAGCGTAACAGACGTGGGGCTGCGCGCCTCGGCTGTGGAGCGGATAATAAACTGCAATAAACATCTCTGTATATAAACTGGACGTGGCGTTGGTCTCTTGTGAGCTGGGACCTGAGGCAGCCCTGACATTATTATTATTATTATTATTATTATTATTATTATTATTATTATTAAGAACGATGAGGACTGGAAGCTTACTTTATATTTAGGGAAAGGAGCACACGTTCTTTGTGTACAGCAGTTTCCCAGGCTCAATTCCCAGCATCTCCAGGTAGGACTGGGAAGGTCGCTTGCATGAAAGATTCCTGCATTGCAGGGGTTGGACTAGATGACCCTTAGGGTCCCTTCCTGCTCTACAATTCTATGACTCTGTAACACTACAGCGCTCCTGTCAGGAGACAGTACAGTGATACCTCGGGTTAAGAACTTAATTCATTCCAGAGGTCTGTTCTTAACCTGAAACGGTTCTTAACCTGAGACACCACTTTAGCTAATGGGGCCTCCTGCTGCCGCTGCGCCGCTGGAGCGCGATTTCCATTCTTATCCTGGGGCAAAGTTCTTAACCTGAAGCAACCACTTCCCGGTTAGCGGAGTTTGTAACCCAAAGCGTCTGTAACCCGAGGTACCACTGTACTGAGCTAGCTGGACCTGTGGTCGGATCTGCATATCAGCTTCCTATGTGTGAAACGTGGAAAGGCAGGAATGGTGTCAAATACAACTCTCAAATGTCAGATCGACAGCAAAAAAAACAACAACCCCAAATTCTCAAATTGCATGTCAGAATTTCCATTCCCTCCCACTCTGGGGCTTAAACAACAGAGTCTCGTTGGCCAGTAATGCCTGATTACTTACAGAGTCTGTGTGGCTGAACACACAACCCAGAATTAAGCGCTGCGGAGCCCCGTTGATTTGAACAAGAGACGTAACCACAGGCTTAAATACAGGAATAAAAGGGATCAACGAAATGCAAAAAGCTGCCTCGGAGCAGATCAGTCTGTTCCTCCAGCCAACCCAATATTGTCTCCACTCCGGGACCTTATGCTTGTGCAGCACACCGTGGGCTTAAAGCTGAGCTGTGCCCCACCCCCCTTGCCCCCGCCATATTTTAAAGTGAATAGGATGGAATCTTGGGACGCGGGTGGCGCTGTGGGTTAAACCACAGAGACTAGGGCTTGCCGATCAGAAGGTCGGTGGTTTGAATCCCCGCGACGGGGTGAGCTCCCGTTGCTCAGTCCCTGCTCCTGCCAACCTAGCAGTTCAAAAGCACATCAAAGTGCAAGTAAATAAATAGGTACCGCTCCGGTGGGAAGATAAACGGCGTTTCCGTGCGCTGCTCTGGTTCGTCAGAAGCGGCTTAGTCATGCTGGCCACATGACCCGGAAGCTGTACGCCGGCTCCCTTGGCCAATAAAGCGAGGTGAGCACCGCAACCCCAGAGTCGGCCACGACTGGACCTAATGGTCAGGGGTCCCTTTACCTTTAGGATGGAATCTGCTATAATCACACATGCATGCGGTATCTGAATCGGCCGCCAGGCGGCGCATGAACACCAAAGAACTGTTGCAGGTCCGTCTTATGGCACGGAGCTGTCATCTATAAAAGGGGAGAAGAGAATAGTTGGCAAATAGTGGGGGGCGGAGGGGGGGCTTGAGTGATTGAGGTGAAGGGATGGGGCAAGTGGAAGAGTTGCAAGCATGTTTTGCCCCCTCCCCCAGTAAACCCAAAGAAGCGCTAATCAGTCTTTCAGATGGCTGTAAGAGTATCTTCCTCAAAGACTAAGGGGGATCCATTAGGAACAAGATGCGGCCTTCCATGCTTATATTTCTGGCCCTTAGTACTCTTCCCAGGCCATGTGCCACAGCAGCCCTCTTCACATCCTCCTTCCTCCTTGAGTGCTTTTGCCTGTCTGGGATTGGAAATAATAATAATAATAATAATAATAATAATAATAATAATAATAATAATTTATATCCCACCCATCTGGCTGAGTTTCCCCAGCCACTCTGGGTGGCACCCAACAGAATACAGTGGTACCTCGGGCTACAGACACTTCAGGTTACAGACGCTTCAGGTTACAGACTCCGCTAACCCAGAAATAGTACCTCGGGTTAAGAACTTTGCTTCAGGATGGGAACAGAAATCGTGCTCCGGCGGTGTGGCAGCAGCGGGAGGCCCCATTAGCTAAAGTGGTGCTTCAGGTTAAGAACAGTTTCAGGTTAAGAACGGACCTCTGGAACGAATTTAGTTCTTAACCTGAGGTACCACTGTATTAAAAACACAATAAAACATCAAACATTTAAAACTTCCCTAACAGCCTTCAGATGTCTTCTAAAAGTCAGATAGTTGTTTATTTCCTTGACATCTGAAGGGTTCCACAGGGCGGGTGCCACTACCAAGAAGGCCCTCTGCCTCTTCCCTGTAACCTCACTTCTCGCAGGGAGGGAACCACAAGAAGGCCCTTGGCGCTGGACCTCAGTGTCTGCATTGAATGTTGGCGGGTGGAGACGCTCCTTCAGATATAGATGACCCTGGGGGGATTCCCTTTCCAACTCTACACTTCTATGGTTCCGCAGATCTCCAGAGGAAGGTCTTCCTTTTCCCGCAGCCGACCAACACGGCTCACGTGGTCGTGAAAGCCAGGCTGGAGCGGCCTTTGAGTAGCTTCACGGTTTGCATGAGGCTCTACACGGACCTCGCTCGGGCCCAGACCCTGTTCTCTTACGCCACCGAGGCCGAGCCCAACAACATCGTCGTCGACCGACTGAGCCGCTCCCAGTACAGGCTGTACATTGGGGGTGATGCGGTAAAGCTGAACATCGCAGAGAGGGCGGCCCCACTGCCGGCGTGGGAGCACATCTGCCTGGCTTGGGACTCCGCCAGCAGGGTGGTACAGTTTTGGCTGGACGGCAACCCTCTGCCCCGGAAGGCGGTGAAGCCAGGCTATGCCGTCGCCCCCCAGGCCTCCATCATCCTGGGGCAAGACCAGGATGCCATGGGGAGCGGCTTCGACTTGATGCAGTCCTTTGTAGGCGAGCTCACCGACGTCTACATGTGGGAACGGGTCTTGAGCCCCCAGGAAATGTGTCGCCTGGGGGACAAGCGCATCCCGGCCAACTCCGTGATCAACTGGGGGTCCTTGGCTTACAAGATCAAGGGCAATGTCTTTCTCACGTACACCCTCTTGCCGGTTAGCCGAGCGGCTTGTGGGTGCCCTTTGCAAGCGGTGCCCTGCTGCTGGAGGAGGGTGGCGCTCTGAGAGTCTCTTGCTGGGTCAGCAAGGAACTGCTCTGTTGAGCTCAGCACTTTCCAGCCTATTAAGATTTCTGTGTGATTTGTGGGGGGCGGGGTGGCCCTCTGTATTTTGCTCATCTACAACTCCCAACAACAATGGGAGCTCTAGTTTCTGCAGCCTCTGGGTGGTCCAAAGGTTCCCCTCCCCCACCTGCCCTATGCTAATCTTCTTCCGATGAAGGAGGATGGGTCTGTCAGTTTGGGTTACTCTCCATTTTTTACAGTCTTCCGTTCTCTACATTTCTGCTTCGGTTTGCAATTGCAATTTTTTTCTTAGTACTTGTGAAAGTTTGTCAGCTTCTTAGGGTGAATATGGGTGCTTTGTACGCAATTTTGTCCGATATACACACTTCTGCAAAATGGTTTCCCGAAAGTAATGCCTTCTTGCAAGTTACTGTAACTTTCTGTGTATAAGACTAGGTTTTTTTAATTAAAAAATTATGTTCAGAATTGTGGGTCGTCTTATACATGGATACAATCCGTTTTTCTCAATTTGGAGTCCCCCAAACTAGGGGCGTCATATACATGGGGGCGTGTTATACATGGAAAAATACTGTATTTTCATGAATCAATGCAGGCATCAGCTGAGCATATGTATTTTTGCACACATTACTTTGCTAGAAGTTCAACTTTCTTGTCTTGTCATGCCTTGTCTTGTCATGACATGGCATGACCTGTTGTGACATAATCAGGCCTGTCATGAGATCAGCACATGATATTATGCAATTGTCTGAAAGTAACATTTTTTGTTTTGTTTTTTGTTTGTTTCGAAGCACATTCTGTAAGTAAAGCCTTTGAACCATATTTTGAGACTGGACAATTTTTTATTTCAAGAAGAGTCTGGTTTTATTCATCCATTTTGCTTCCAAATGTGCACCATTCATAACCACAATACATGAGACCATTGACAAAGGATCCCATAAATTTCCAGATTTCTGGAGAAATATCATCTCCCTCCCAGAGGTTATTCCCTTCCTTGCCTTATTTTCGAGAATGTGGGGTGGAGAACAGGGTTAAAACTGCCATTCTGCCATGAAGCTCACCATGTGACCTCAGGCCAACCACTCAGAGCCTGGCCTACCTCACAGAGTTGTTGTGGGGGATGGCCATATTCAGAGACCAAAGAAAAAGTGTGCCTCACACCTGCCCTGTTGCCTGTCTACAGAGCTGAGGGCACCTTCAAGAACAAGAATGGCGCATTGGCAGCTGTAATTTCTTTGTGGGAATGTTCAGGGAGGTGGGAGAAGATATATTGTTTATTAATATCCTTCCTAACTCGCGCTAGCAAGTTCCTTTACTTAGCAGAGTTTATATTCCCCTTTAAACACACAGCAGATTGCTGGTTGCAGGCTTGTTTAAGCCTCTCAATATTAGGTTCCTGGTAAGTCCCCTTAAAAGAATAAGCACACCACAATCTTGTGTAAAGTATGTCAAAGAAGTTTACTCACCATCAGTTCACAGTTGGATCCCTGAAGGCAGACTTAGTTACAAAGTATATACATGTGGATCTACTCCATCTTGGGGGGGGGAGTAATCCCAGTGACTGCAGACTGGCAGTCCCTGCAGCTCACAAGATGAAAGCAAGATGGAGAAGAGAGGCAAAGAAGAGAGTGTGCTGCATGCCTTGCCCTTGTGTTACCTGGGCAGGTAAGGTCACGCCCACCTCTAGTCACATGCAAAAGGAAGTATGTCCCAGTCAGGAGGAAACAGGAAGTTTTCAACTAATTGGACCAAACATTCCCTCGCATGTCCACTCTAGGAAAACAAGGAATGTTGTACTTGACTGCTACTTATGTATCACATCTCACATTCTTTCCCCTACATCTTCTTATTTATGAGGCGCCCAGCATGCTCAGGAGAAGTCCAGGGGCTACAAAATCTCCACAATCTCCATAAAAGTGGTAATATAAGGGGTGCGAACCTCTTGTCAATTCTTCTTTCTCCAGAAAAGATTACATCTGATTTTTATTACCTTTTTCTGTTTCAGTCAAGTTTCTTTTAGAAATCCCCCAGCTGCCAATTGTTATGCAATCTTTCCCAGGAAAAGACCTCCCCAAAACCTCCTTCCACACCCTTCTTGTCTCAAGAGGATACTTCAGATGGAGTCTGAAATTTAGTTTGGTTTGTATTACCTTAACTGCACTTCACAGAACAATTCAGGAACCAAGATGCAGGTATCATTTGAAATTCACATTTCATTGAATTTTGCAACAACAACACCCCCCCCACAAAAAAAATAATAATTCTGCAGCAAGCTTCAGAGATCAATACAAGAATCGCTAAGTAAATAAAGGTCACACACAGAGAGACCTTTTCTTAGACCAGCATCTTGGATTTCAGGTAACCCCTGCCTCAGTAGGCCACGGGGTTAACAATAACATAACCCTTGATTTCATAATTGACTGTTTTCCAGTCAAACACGTAGTCGCCAGGAACGTCTTGGTTGAGGAAAGCGAGCTCCAGTTCCTCGTTGGTGAGCACCCGGTCCCACATTCTCACATCCTGGAGCTCCCCCACAAAGCAATCGGTTATGTCAAAGCCGCCCCCCATCACGTCTTGCTCTTGACCGAGCACAATCGACGGCTCCCCACTTATGGAGTACCCTTTCCTCAGGCCCTTGCGGGGCATGCGCTTCGAATTCACCCACAACTCTGCTAAACCAGTGGCAGAATCCCAAGTCGCACACAAGATCTCCCTGCCGAGCAATTTTTTTTCCGGATCCGTGAAGGTCACTGCTTCATTCCCTACTGCAAATCCGTACACGTTGTTTTTTTCTTTGAGGAGGATGATCTCATTGAAATTTCCCCGGGTGGCATAAGAGAAGAAGGTGTGGGGGCGGTTGAGGTCTGTGAAATGAGCCAGGCAGAGGGTGAAGCTGGTCAAGGGCCGCTTTGGGGCGGCCTTCAGAACCACGTGGGCAGAGTTTGATGCCTGTGGAAAAACGAGCTGCTTCCCAGCGAGGCCCGAACCTGAGGTGAGAGGAGGAGAATGAAGGGTGCCACAGGTTAAATATAATTGTTTAATTGCACACTGAAATGGAGAATGCCTGTATGTATGTATGTTGCTAAGGGTTTCATATTGAAAAATTCCTTTGAAGCATACAGTCGTATCTCAGAGGTCGAACAGAATTCCGTTCCGGAATTCCAAAATGTTCGAAAACCAAAGTCCAGCTTCTGATTGGAAGTCGCGGAAGCCCCGTCAAACGTTCAGCTTCCAAAATAATGTTCAAAAACCAGAACACTCACTTCCGGTTTTCGATCATGCGGGAGCTGAAATGTTCAACTCCCAAGGCATTCAGGAGCTGAGGTACAACTGTACTGAAGCTCTCTCTGAGCGCTAACTTGTTGATAATTAACGTGTGTGTGTGTAAATTTTTATAATATGCAGAGTAGCTTACAGCTAGGAAGCTAAATAACTATTCTGAGTGATTGAAAACTTCTTTGTAAAGACAGTGCCCAGACTCTTTATATTCAAAAAGAACTTTCCTGTCATAAACATATAGCTGAGAAGAATATATTTACAATCTAGCCCCTGCACATGTTTATCCTTATTAACATTTAGGGATCTCCCTCTGTCTGTTTCACTTCAGATAGATCACACCAGCACACACACTGCCCACAGCATTATCCTGAGTAGCCTCTCTCAGAGAGAGAGAGAAGTAGAAAAACTGATAAAAATGACAGTTACAGGCATAACAGTCACAACAGAATGGAATGCCTCTCTCATGTGACTCACAGTCAACCAATCACATGAAAGCCTCTGCCAGATTTAAAAGCCCCATATTAAAAAAGACACAGTAACCCAACATAAGTAAACATTTCCATTACAGGAAATTAAACCATTATCCTTCACATGAGTGTTTAACCTTAGATTAAACTGTTCAATTGCAAATTTGCCATTTCGAAAGGAAGCCGCCTTTGCCTTTTGTTCCCTGGCACAGGGAAAGAAGGATGTGATAAGAGGTCTTCCCTGGAGCTGCCTGGCCTTAGGCTGGTTGCAGGCTATGGGAGAGGCAAAGCACTGATCATAATTAAGTTATATATTTAACAAGAAGAACCTATGCTTGGATATACATGTGCCTTATACAACTTTCTAGGATGTGTTGTTGATAGTTTTGTGCCTGTTTTTGAAGAAGTTCTGCTTAGTAAAGCTTTGAATCTTAATTATGAGCCTGGGCAGTTTTTATTCCGAAAGGAGTCAACTTTTATGCATCCAATTGCTTCATGCTGTGCAATATTAATATCTGCAATCGTCCCAAACAGAGAAAGAGAGAAAATGTCACAACTTTCTTGTCAAAACTTTCTGCCTTCCTTCGCATGAAAGGCAGCATGAACTCACCTCTCTCTGCATCTCACCTGTTCTTGAGGCTGCCTTCCCTAAGAGTCCCCCCAAAACTTGCCGCCAGCACCACCAGCCATGCCTCCTTTGCAGAAGTCTTCATCTTCTTTCCTTGTCTTCATCTTGGTGAGGAAGGTAGCTCCAAGCAGGGGCAGAGAAAGGGGGGTGCAGTGGGTGCAGCCCCCCCCCACCGGTGTCACCACTGAGGGGTGTGACAAAACACCAGGCAGCACTCACCGTGGGGCCTGGGAGAGACACAGTGGCTTGGGTTCGAACAGGCTCCACAATGCCCTAATGGTCCCCCTGCTGCCTGCAGCTGAACAGCTGAGTGGGAGAGGAGGCAGTGCAGACTCCAGAGGCCCTGCGGTGTGCCCTGCCCCTATGGGTGGCTTGCCCCCCCCGATGCGCCCCCAGGCACCTGAGCAGCTTCCTCCGCCCCTGGCCCCAAGACAGTTGAAGCAACAGAATTTTGCAGTGGAAGCATCAACTGCCACTGATTTCTTCCTTTTTTAAAAAAAAAACCTTCCTCTTCTAGATTCAACCCACCCCTTTAAATAAACAAAGAATGAAGATTTTGTGTCAGAAATCTAAAATCATTAAAGGGGGGGGGTTGTATGTGCAAGACTGTGCTACAGAAGGTACCTACCCACTTCTACACACACACACACACACACACACACACACACACACACAACAATGCAGCTGAGGTTGTCACCCACCTTGCTGGCCAAAAGACCCCAAGACCCTCACGAGGACAAGAAGGGAGAGGAAGGCCTTCTCCATCTTGCCTGACTGCAGAACGAAGAGAGGCGAGAGGGTGTCAAGAGAACAGGCTATTCAAGAGATCAGTTCTCAACTGAGAGCTTCAAACTCTGTCCCAAATATGCGCTTGAGGGGCATGAAGGGAAATGTTTTGGGAAACGCTCTTGAGGAAAGATTACCTCAGAACTGGCAACCAGTGTTTCCCTGCTTTCAATTTTTCACAAAGGAGTCCAAAGGGGGAAGTTTTTCACAAAGGAGTTCAAAAGCAAGAACATTTTCAGAAAGGCATTGATTTCAAACTTGAGACAACATGGTTTATGTTTCTTATTTATGCCAGCAAGTTCAGCTTCCTGAATAAAACCTTTGATGACACATGAATCGCTACAGAGAGAATTTAGGTGTGTTATATCATGATGTATACTTGTAATTGCTCTATGCAAACGAGGAGACCGTACTCCTTTTCACTTGGTTTTTGTTTGCGGTGAAAGAGCAGCTGAAATGTGTTTCTTGAAAATCAACAAAATACACTTTAAAAGAAAGGTGTGGTTGATTTAACACCTGGGTCTCCTTTTCTTGGGGGGGGGGGAAGGATGGGACGACAACCCTGCAGGCCCAGTTTTACAGTCTTTAGATTACTGTCCAAATATTTGTGAACAGATGGCAGGTGGATTATGGTAGAGGTGTGTGGCCATTCTGTGCTGGGGCCAAATAAGATGAATTGAGTTGTTGCTTCCCTTCCCCGAGTCAAACTACAAGGGCAATGAAATGCCCCCAGTTTAATCAGCACCCCCACCCCCACCCCCCACCATCACAGCCTCATGTCTCTAGAGACTGCCAGTGTATTGATTTCTCATATTTTCTCCTTTTTCCAATCTTAACTTCAGTTCTTCAAATGCTCATTTGCATTAATATTATTATTATTATTAAAAAGGTTTATCACCCAAATGTATCAGCATTTTAGTGCAAATTTCTCCTAATAGACACACTTTTCTAGGCAATTTTGCCTAATATGCACAATTTGGCAAAAAGAATTTTCCCTAATAGAAATAATGCATTTTGTAAGCTGATTTTCACTAATATACACAGTTGTATGCACACTTCACCCCAGTATCTGCATATGTTGGCTGTACACATGACATGGCATTGCAAGATTCAGAGCAGTGTAGATTTTGGAGGATGGCTGTGTGACAGTTCACGCATTGTTTTGGAAAGTGTGAATCAGGTAAAATCAGCTTTAAAAGCGATTCCCTCCCCCCACTCCAGCCCCAGACTTTGGAAGAAACAAACTCAAGTCTCCCCACTGAAGGTTGTTGTTGAAGCTGCTGAAGAATACAACAGACGTTAGAGTTAATCTTTTATTGGAGGAATAAACAGAAACGACAGCTTGTGGGTTTCACAGAACTCCTCATTCCAGCAGGAAGAACTGAAATCAATGCAACTAACAGTGTCTATTGCCATGCGAAAGTATAGATCTTTTAAGGACTACCACCACAATCCTAACTTTAAGCCCTGTTGGAGGCTTCAATCAAAGAAGCATAGAATCGTAGAGTTGGAAGGGACCCTAAGGATCATTTAGTCCACCCCCTGTAATGTGTTTTTTTTTAAAAGACTCTCCATCTGTTTGCAAAGCCTACTCAGCTCTACAGTTGGAAAACAGGTAGGGCTTAAGAACAGTGTAGCCTCTCATGACATAATTTAACGATCTCCAGTTAATTATTGGGTTGGAAGGAACATGGTTGTCCCAGACAAGGCACATTTCGTCCCCAGACAGCACCCGGTCCCACATGTACACATCTGTGAGCTCCCCTACAAAGGACTGGTTGATATCAAAGCCACCCCCAAAGGAATCCTGATCTTGCCCCAGGACAATCGATGCCTCTGGACTTATAACATGACCTTTCATCATACCGTTTCGGGGAAAAGGTTGCCCATCAAGCCAGAACTCCACTAATCCTGTGTCAGATTCCCAACTCATACAGATCTGCTCCCAGCTAGGCTCTGAAACCAGCTTTTCTGGGAAGAAGAAAATCACATCTGCAGTCCCCACATAAAGGCTGTACTCATTGGTTTTGGATTTGAAGACCACAATCTCGTTGTCACTCGTCTTGGTTGCGTAAGAGAATAGGGTGTGAGCCCGGGTCATGTCCGTGTAGGATCTCAGGCAGATGGTGAAGCTGGTCAAAGGCTGCTGTGAGGTGGCCTTCAAAACCACGTGGCTGGTGTCCGATGATTCCGGAAATATGAAGACCTTCCTTTCAAGATCTGGGGGGTGGAGGAAGAGAACAGTTTAAAAGGAGCAGACATTTTTTCCCAAGGATTAGTATGGCACCAAGACAGTGCCATTATTTATGTTAGGCTCTGTTTCTCCGTGTGCCTCATCTGAAGGAAGTCTGGATGTTGGCCACATCGTCTATCCAGTTCAGCATCATGTACTTGCAGTGGCCAACCAATGAAAAGCTCACACACATGTCATGAGCTCAACGACACTCTCCGTACTTGTGATTCCCAGCAACTGGCATTCAAAGGCAGACTACCTCCTATTATTATTTATTAATTTATTTATTTATACCCTGCCCATCTGGCTGGGCTTCCCCAGCCACTCTGGGCAGCTTCCAACAAAATATTAAATTACAGTAATCCAGTGGAGATAGGACAAAGCCATCATGGTTTGTAACCATTGATAGCTGTCAAGGGTTCAGGGAATCCTATCTCTCTCATGGTGGGATGCCAAGAAGCAGAAAAACCAGAAGAGTTCTTACCAGGTAGTTTATTCAACATTCACAGAGAGAGACGAAGGGATGCGATCTCTCTTAGATAATGATGCTGCTCCAAGTAAAGTCCCCCTCTCTCAGTCCCTCCTATTCTACTTCACTCCTGCGCCAGCTTATCTGTGTTTTCTGCCTCTGAACTTTCTGTTCTACTACCCTCAAGGCACACCTGGTTCTGGGAGAGGGGGGGTCGGGAATGCTTTCAAGAGACACTGAGTCTGTTAGCTGTCTCTCCCAATATTTCCCAGCTCCCCTCCTCTGCAGTCTCTGAACTATGACCTTCTGCAAACCACCGTTCTGAATCTATACTGTCCTCCTCTTCTCGGTTCCCACCATTCCTCCTCAGGCCGGCTCCTGACAATAGCCATTCTCCATGAGTTCATCTACTTCTCTTTTAAAGCCCTCCTGGAAACCCAGTCCGATGGGTGGGGTATAAATAATAAAACTGCTGCTGCTGCTGCTGCTGCTGCTGCTGCCGGAAGCCATCATTACTTTTCGTGGAAGCAAACTCCATAGTTTAATTAGGTATATGATAACTTTTTTTTGGTCATAAAAAGAAATAAAACAGTTAGTAGGTGGTGATTTTCTATTCTGGTGTGAATATCTCCAGTCGAGAGAATATCATAGAAAAGGGAGACAAACCGATTCCAATTAAGAGACACCACAAGTTTTGAAAACATCTATACAGTGGTACCTCGGGTTAAGAACTTAATTTGTTCTAGAGGTCTGTTCTTAACCTGAAACTGTTCTTAACCTGAAGCACCACTTTAGCTAATGGGGCTTCCCGCTGCCACTGTGCCACTTCTGCACGATTTCTGTTCTCATCCTGAAGCAAAGTTCTTAACCCGAGGTAATATTTCTGGGTTAGCGGAGTCTGTAACCTGAAGCGTATGTAACCTGAGGTACCACTGTATTTCAAATTGTAGAAAGTATTGCCTGGAACGATTACCTGCAAATTCCATCTGCTTCTGTCAAAAGGGGGGGGGAGTGATAGTTGCTTTTATATTCCCAGTAAAAGATTATGGGGAACACAACCTGAATCACAGATGGAAGCAGAACAGAACACAGAACAACTCAAAAACAGAAAAGCTTTTTTTTAAAAGGGACGGTGGAAAGGGTGGAAAGAAGGAGTTGGAACTGTGAAAAGCTGCGCTCCTTGCTGCAATATTTTGTTTCCAGATGTCATGGCTAACAGCCCTTGATAGACCCATCCTACTCCATGAATTTGTCTTATCTCCTCTAAAGCCACTTTCACGAATGTGCCCCAGCCTTCCAGCTCACGCCCCTGGGTTGCTTTTACAGCTCAACGCGGCACCCACCTTCCTGGGCAAGAGATCCCAGCAGGACAGCAAGGATGAGGAGAAAGGGATGGAAGATCTCCATGCTGCTGGCTGCACGGTGGGAGGGGCCTGGAGGGAGGATGAAATGGATCTCCGAAATGGTCAGATCTGCCTTGGAGACTTCCTTCCTGGTTGAAGCTGGTCACCGATTTGGAGCTACTGGAGAGTCTCTCTGGTATTTATAGGTGCACAGCAAGGGATTTGCAGGGGGATAATCCATGAAATAGATGGAAATATTTTTCCCATCCCAAACGTGGTATCAGTTGTCAGCTGGTTTTTTAAAAAGCAAAACCCTGCCAGTATGAAAACGATCCCTCTTAGCCCACACAGACGTCGGGAGGCTTTCCAGACAACCTTGTGGGATACAGAATTTACAGGTAGAAATGTGTTTTCTGCAAAATTCAAAATGTCTTTCTCATTGGAGAAATCACACTGAATGAAATAATGTATCTGAACTCTCAGAGTTTTGTGATACAGTTCTTTGCTTGAAAAATGGGGGGGGGACACTTTCCGCTTTTTAATGGCTACAAGGATGCATTTTTTATCATCAATATGGTGTGATTGTTTGTGAATCTGTTTGTTGAATTGTTATATTATTCCCAAACGTTGTGAGCTATTTGGCACAATAGTTGAAATTTGTTTTCTGCAGCTTTTTACAGGTTTTGAGCCTTGAACCTGCCACCTTCTACAGCCTTCAGCTTGGGGTATCCTTCGGACCTGTCATGCGCATCTTGGTGAATCCTGGTCAATGGGTCTGGATGAACATATTGGCTTCGCCTACCCAAGGTGCTCTGAGCAAGGAGGGAGAATTTTCCCATCGTTCTTGGCTGGTGAGCCATGGAACACAGCTTTTCATATGCCCAGGGGATTGAGGGATACTTCCCTCTTGGATGTTAGTTCAAACCCACCATAGTTACAGAATTAGGTGGGGTTTTTGGCAAATCTTCTATGTTTAATATGAGCACAAATGATATGTTTAATAGGACCACCTTTACTTGTCTCTCATGTCTCCTTCCAGGGTGTTTGTTGGCAACCTCCTTGGGACTCCATCTTCTTGGCTGCTGAGTTCTACCTGGCACCTGTTCTTAAGAAGCACATGTCCAGAAGGTAGGTTGCCTATTATCCCATTCTGGTAAATGTTACTTCTCAGGTGGTTTTTTATGCCTGCCAAGGCTGCTGAAAAGATTAGAGGCAAGTTTATTAAAGTGTATTTCCTATCATAGGGATAATCTTACAGAACAATCAAGATTAATGCCCCCTTAATCCACAGAGCCTAGGACTTGCCGATCAGAAGGTCGGCGGTTCAAATCCCCACCACAGGGTGAGCTCCCGTTGCTCTGTCCCTGCTCCTGCCAACCTAGCAGTTCGAAAACATGTCAAAGTGCAAGTAGATAAATAGGTACCACTCCAGCGGGAAGGTACACTGCTCTGGTTCGCCAGAAGCAGCTTTGTCATGCTGGCCACATGACTTGGAAGCTGTACGTCGGCTCCCTCGACCAATAAAGTGAGATGAAGGCCGCAACCCCAGAGTCGGTCACGACTGGACCTAATGGTCAGGGGTCCCTTTACCTTTACCTTTAATCCACAAGAGCACCTCTGGCATTTACTTCTGTGCTTTTATGTTGATGTTCCGCCCTTTGGATGCTAGGACAGGGGTGGGAAGTCTCAGGCCCAAGGACCAGATGTGGGCCCCCAGGAATCTCTATCTGGATTCTCCCCAGGCAAGTTTCTTAGTCTTCACCAGACCTTTGCTTGCTTTAACGCCTTCCTTCTGAGCAAACCAGGTGGCTTTGGCTCTCTGGAAAACCTGAAATGTGCAGGAAGCTTCCAAGACTGTGGGAGGCTTCCTACATTCACCCTCCAACTTAGCGAAGGGACAGAAATCCAATTCAGTTCACATTTAAAGACAAACATAATTAATTTCCGCTTTCCAAAACTATATGTGAACCCAAACCCAGATACCCTTTGAAATTTGTACTCTGAATTTTGCAATGCAGTTATCCTGCCATGTCCTGTGTGGCATGTACTAAGGTGGGGGGGGGACCTTTGGCCCTCCCGATGTTGCTGAACTACAGCTCCCATCATGCCTAGCCATTGGCCATACTTGCTAGGGATAATGGAAATTGTAGTTCAGAAACAAGCGAAGGGCCAAAGTTTCCCCACACCTGCTCTAGGGTAAAGTCTGCATGTAAATGCATTTATTAGTTAAAAATAAATAAATACAGGAATGCGTTATGTTAGGGGAAATTTCATTGCAAAAATACGCCATTCTTTGAGAAACAGAGATATCTGGTGACTTGCCGGTGTGCAGTTCTGCTTCATTCAATACTTTTTCGTGTGAATTATTTTAATCTTCTCACCATGCTTATCCTGGTCTCCCACCTGACTAGAATATATCCTTGATCTATGATGATGCCTCTTGCTTATCGGTGTAGAGGTGTTGGGGAGGGGCAGATCTGTCCCTTTCCATTTCCCATAATTTATATAAGATTTTGGGTAACATACAATGTTCTGCACAGCAGTTTTTTCAAATATAACACATTTTGGTATGTTATTTACTAATATACACATGTTTATGCCCCCTCCTATCCAAGGAGTGTGCATTCTTGTACACATTACTTGGCCGTAGAATAGCACTGCAAAATTCAGAAACTGTGTTTCAGTTTACGTATTGCTTTGGAAAGCGCTGCATACATTGCTTTTGCCTTTAAAGGTGAATGACATCAAATTTCTTCCACCATTCCGAGACTAAATTATCAGTTTTAGGTTGTTTGGTCTTCAGTTGTGTTGAAGACAAAACTCCATGTAAGGTTACCAGACGTCCCCGTTTCCTGGGGACAGTCCCCGGATTTACAAATCAGTCCCCATACAAAATCCATTGAAGTTGAAAAGTGTCCCCGGATTCATTGAAAAAAATCTGGTGACCTTACATTAAAGGACAAAAGCAGAGAGCAGGGACTTCAAGTCCTCTCCTGATCTCAGAGCCATGATTTGGCGACGGGGAAACATGAGTTCTGAACAAGATACCACGCTGTCAGAGCTCTCCTTGGCCAAAACAACGTCCCTTATTGGAAACAAAGGGTGCCTGTTACCTGAAACAAAGATGTGTTTCTTCTGTTTAAAGCCCTCTGAAACACTGCTGGATGTCTGGAAATTCCCCCAATGGCCACCAC